AGTAGTTGAAGCTGAAGTTTTGAAAAAAGTATAAAATAATTTTAACCCTATTACGTTGCATAAGGGCGCGCGTTGCGAATTTAGTGGTATTTTTATTTTGTTTGCACTTGCATTTTATTAATTTAATTTTTCCCCTTTCACGGTTATTCCAAGAAAAACATTTTGTGGAAGCACCTAAGGATTTGTTTAAATTCAATTGTTCTGCACACTAACATACTATTTGTAGGTGGGTTAATTTTTTATTCAATATCTTATTAACGCATTAATATTATTACGCCGCACAGTGGGATTTGGGCTTCAAAACCATTTAATTCTTATAATCTGATGGTTTAGCCTCATAAAGCCATATTTGTATAAGATAAAAATCCTTGTAACTTCTTACGAAACTGACACTTTATACAAAATAAAAGTAACATAAGTCAGTAGAATTTGATTCAACTAAAACTTATGGAGATTTTTGTCCAGCTGAGCAATGTGTTTTTCTAAGAACTTCTGTTTTGATTGCTATTGTTGTAGGCTCATATAAAAATAATGCATTTACCTGTCAAAATGGAGTAAAAATCATTTCAATCGACCAAATATTTTCAAAAGTATAATAGTCGATTTCCGCGAAGCCTTAACTGCTGTTTATGCCTATTGGAAAAATGAGATTACAAGTCGAAGGAAGTAATTCCACATATTACGTAGAAGCAAACGAAAGCAAAAAAGCAAAAATTAAGAAATAAACCTTGCCGATCACCCCATGTTAAAATTCTTGGAACTTATCTGAGCTCTTAACTGCAGTTAAGCTTTGATGGAAATAGGCAATAAGCAAAAAAAAATCGGGCCGCTTTTTAAAGCATTTTTGCGGTTCGGTTTGTATCGGAGGTACGCTTTTCTCGTTTTATTCTTGATTTATGTTTGTTCACAAATGTTGCATACGAAAAATTGAGGTTCCACGCCAATTCCAAATTGTTTCAAAAAAAAAAAATATGGGACTGGTCCACTGTGCGTCGTAGTATACCGAGCATTTAATAATTCTCTAGCACGCTTATCGCACCTTCAATAGCAGCGTCATTTTGTTGATTATCATTGTTGTTGGCTGTTGGCGGGTGGATAAACAGACTGGCAATCAGGGTTGCCAACTATCTTTAGATATGAGGTGCCATATTGAGGATAAAAAAGTGCCAAAATGTGTCAAAATGTGCCAAATAGAAAAATGAAAGTGCCAAAAAAGGTGCCTCTATTTTAATCCTCCCCATTAAGCAATAAAATAAGAACCACATTTCTAAAACAAAAGTGCAATGCCAAAATAAGATAAACCAGTTGAATAATCTTTAGAAATTACAATATTTAAGTTGAGAAAAAAAAGTACATGCAAAGGATTTCACAAAAATGTATTGCAATATTACTTATTTTGAAAAGTTCCATTTTGGCACTTTGTGCCATTTGATGTAAAATAGGGCCAAAAATGGAACGGTTTGAGCCAAGTTGGCAGCCCTGCTGGCAAGGTGTTGGTTACTGCAATTGATAAGATATGACGCGCAGCTGCGCTCGTACACCAACAATAATTCAGTATGAGCTGGAAAGTGATTTTATAAGGAACTTAAAGCAAAACAAGTGAAAATTATAAAGAAAATATGTTCATAATTATTTAGATAGAAATGAAATAGTAAAACAAACGCGAATATTATAGAAATATGAAATATTTAAAAGTTAAACTTTTTTGCAAAAAATAATTAGTTAAAAAATCCAAAATAAAAAACATAAACTTTAATGGAAGTGAAGTTGTATATGAAAACTACAAAAATTCAAATAAATTTGGTACGCATATTGAATTTTATTTTCCCTATATTTAGTGTCCAAGAACTCCATTACAAATAAACGAAAAACAACCAAAATGCACGCGCGTCATAAACAACTAAAAATGTGACCATGTGAGTGTGTGTGCGCTTGTGAAAAAATAACAAACTAACTAAAGTATTACCAAAGATTTAAAAACCAAATCCGCAGTATGAATAAAAGCAACTTAGAAAAAGATCGCTACGAAAAATAATAATAATAATAATATCAGCAACAATGTTCGACGTACCACCGAAATGCCCCGCTTTGGCCAACAAACTGACTGGCATTTTCGGTTGGCGTCACACATACAAAGTTGCAGCCAAGCACGAAGGCATACAGCATACATTCCTGCAGAAATCCTATTCGTTAACAATGCCGAAAAGACCGCCATCACCATACAATGGGCAAAAGGTAATTTTTATGCTGCGGAAAAAAAAACAATGAATAAAAAATTTGTGAAAAAGCAGGCAAAAAAAAATTTATAATACAAGACATAAGAAAGTAATGTAAAGCAAAGAATAGGAAAAATTGGTTTGGGTTTAAAGTGAGTGTGATAAATGTCAATAAAACTTGGTTGTAGAGTGACACAATTCAAAATTACACGTTCGCTAGAAAATGCGAAAAACTATTTCTTAGCACATGCTAATCATATGGGCAAGAGGGACTTCACCTTATGGGTTTTCAACAAATTATAACAAAAATTTACTCCAGCCTTTTCTAAAATGTAAATAAGGGCTCTAGGTACATTTTTACTGCATAATTTCGAAATTTCAAAATTTTGAGTTATGTCACTTTTGAAGATCGTGTGCGATATATCGTCGATGTTTTTGCAAAACCACCCATCGACCAGTTTCAAAACCGCCTAAATCACCGTTGTTGCGAAAATGATATTTGGTAACCCTGAACTCCGGGCATCGAGATTTATGCATAAAAATCGTAAAATCGTTATTAAAACAATAGATCTGTAAAATAATAGGTAGAGAAAATAACGCCCATCGAGGCAATGCGTTCAAAGGAAACCCGTCTTTTTCACTCTCTTTGAGTTGAGTGCCGTAAGATAGGCGGTTTTACAAAAACATCGACGATATATATATATATATATATTTTGGTACTCAATTTTTTGTTTACTCACTTACTAATGTTTTTTTTTTGTCGCTTCTGATATTCCTGAACATTTTTCTACTTAAAATTTTCGTGATTAGAGATGTTAGGTTGCTCGCTTTGCTATTCCATGTACAGTAGCGGGCGAAAAAAATAGAACAGCTTAAAAGTTAGTGATTATATGCTAATATTTATATAAAAAAAAAATCATTATTTAACAGTACAAATTTGTGATCAGGCTAATTTCACAAACAACATTTTTTTCCGTGTTCTATTAAAAGCCAAAACTAAACAACAACAAAACATAAAAACCTCTAAAAATTGTATTTGTGCTACATGGCGTATAAGTAACCTTTTTTTTTATTCAGCTTGTCCGAGCTTTGCTCTGGAGTGCATTTAATTTTTAAAGCTTTCGGTATCAAATACATAATATTAATTTGGATAGTTTTATTTTATAGTTATTTTTTATGTAATAGTTTCAATGAAATTAATTTAATTAATTTTATTTAAAGGCTCAGTTAGTCTAGACTTAATTTAACAACAAATATTTCCAGAAATACATATATACCATTATAAATACTTACTTGTTATTAGGTAAAAAACTGCCTGATTCAAAGTCAATACAAATAAGTTTTAATTTTTTTGTCCGCTACTGTATTTGCAAATGTTATTATTATTTTTGTATTGTTTCTTTTTTTTTGAATTATGACCAATAATAGACCTTGCTACCGGCTTACTCTTACCATAAAAGCGTATGTAACTTAAATACCGAAAAAAAATTGTATGTTCCACCTGTAGAATACTATGTCGCATTTCGTGCATTTACTAGTTTAATGGCCAACACAAACGCCTTACAGGGTTCACCAAAGTTAAATTTTCGCTCCATAAATTTTCAAACCATCAAAGGCAATATAGTCAAAAATAGTGTTGGTTTAATATCATTTTTTATGTGTTTTTAATTAAATCCTCTTAAAAACATCACATCTATCATATGCAGCATGGATACACACATATGTTGGCATGTATGTTATGTCGAAATAGTCATAAAAGAAAAATATTAAAATAAACTATGAAAAATAAGCGACCCACTATGTATGCGGTCATTCACTCAGCCATTCATTTATTTGTTCGGCCATTGATGCGCCTGCGCAGATCGGCGTGTTTCCGGTTATTTGAGTTTAAAAGAACACAAAGTATATATTTTGGTTTGTTTAATATTAGTTGTTTAATTAATGGCGTGTTTGTTGCGATTCTTTGTTGTTTTTAAACTTTTACTTTGAGTATAAATGTCACACGATTTGTAATCCATGCCTTTTGTAATTTTTCATTTGAAGGGAGCGCTATTATTAACGGATTTCAAATACCATAAATACATAGTACATATGTTTATTCCATACGTTCTTCTATTTTAAATATGTTGACTTAAAGGCAATGGATCGATCCCGGCTTATCGGCATAGACCTGTTACTTGACACAAGCCCACAATAAAAATCCAGCGGAGTCAAATCAAATCGTTCATTACGATGTCCATCGTAGCGTCCGCTTTGTTGCACATATCCCCACATAGTCCAATTCCATACCATTCAATTTGGTCGCAAACAAATTTGTTAGCATAGTTGTGCAGAGCTGGGTGTTCTTTTCGAAAAAGTATGAACCAATGAGTGCAGTAACTTAATGGTGACCATATTTATATTCATGAGGAGCTAAGAGTCGCTGCCAACTCAGCTGCGTTAGTTGCAGCAGAGATCTCGACCTGGAAATGCTGCAATAGCCCTGGAGCTTTTATGGATGTTCAAGTCCAAGCTCCATACAAAATGCTCCTTGAACGGCCCAAAGCGAAGTTACGACAATCTTGAGAGCCGGAAGACTTATCTGCGGCAAACTCGGACCATCGACGCCAAAGCCTAATATCCAACCCTGGCTGACAGGAAAAATTCCCGAAAATTTTACCAGAGAGTTAGGCGATTTACGGAAGGTTTCATGACCGGGGCGAACTCCTTTAAGAAGAACAATGAGAACCTAGTTACCGATGCACACAGGTCGGATTCGCTAAACTATGTTTGATCTCTTTTACTAATAAAACAATATCAAGCTTATAAGTTGGATAATCGATGCAAGTCAGTTAGTGTAGCAGAGAAACTTTTTTTAGTGCGATTTCGATTGGCTATTAAATGTGTAAAGATGTGTCTATTGCAAAAAAAAAATCTCTGAAAGAAGTAATTACCGGTTAATTAAAAGTCTGTAATTTTTAATATTTTTATTATTAGGAAAAATTGAAAAAGCAACAAAGTCTAAGCGGTAGAAGTTAGCAACAAGAGTTTACGGGATGTACATAGCTCAGTGGTTAACGCTTCTGACTTTGAACATCGAATACGCAGGTTCGATCCCTGCTGAAGTCTAGAAAAAAGAAGTCTGATGAGGAGATGTGGTGATCTCCGAAATAGTGCTATAACTTCTACCGCTTAGACTTTGTTGCTTTTTCAATTTTTCCTAATAAACAATCGTGGTACAAAGCTCAATAAAAATATTAAAAATGAAATGTTGACAAGCCACAGTAACACTGACAAATAAAAGTCTGTAAGTTCAAAGTGAATAGTTGGACTTGAAATTATTTTATTTCAATATTTAAATAGAAAGAAAAACTAAATAGTTCCGCTGAGTTCCGACTCGAAATTCATAAAATCTAATTCTGTGAAGTGTTGGCTTTAAGGTAAAATATAGTCACTTTGCGCGCTTTTGCAACACCCATACAATTATTTTCGCTTTTCAGAATATTGTCTACAATATTGCGGCAACAACCCCAAGATGCTGCGAGTAACAAGTTTCGAGCGAATTAAAATGTGTTTTTTTTTTTCTTAATAAGCTCGCTGTATTGGAACCCCATTTTGAATTTAAAAATTCGTGGTCAGATTCATAATCAGCGACCCCAAAAACCTACGAGTAACAAGTTTCGAGCGAATTCAATCAATTTTTAAAAATTTCCACAAAAATGGCAACCCTGCCATTCGCGTTAACTACCGCGGGACCAGCCTTCTAAGCATAGGTTACAACACCGAACTGATTGGGCCGTATCAGTGTGGCTTTAGACCTGGAAAATCCACCATAGACCAGGTATTCACAATATGCCAAATCTTGGAAAAGGTCCGCGAGAAAAGAATCGACAAACACCATCTATTTGTCGACTTTAAAGCCGCTTTCGACAGCACTATAAGGAGTTGCCTATACGCCACTATGTAGGAATTTGGCATCCCCTCAAAACTGATACGGCTGTGTAAAATGACGTTGAGCAATACCACCAGCTCCGTCAGAATTTGGAAATACTTCTCCGAGCCGTTCGCCACCAAACGGGGTTTTAGACAGGGCGACTCCCTTCTTGTGACTTCTTTAAACTGATGTTGGAGACAGGAACAATATTTTATATGAACGTGCAATTGCTGGCGTATGGCGATGACATCGACATCATCGCGAACGGGTCTGGATAAAGAAGCAAAGCGAATGGGTTTGGTGGTAAACGAGGACAAGACGAATTACCTCCTGTCATCAAACAAGCAGTCAGCGCATTCGCGCCTTGGCAACCACGTCACTGTTAATAGTTATAATTTCGATCAAGCAGAGAATCTCTTTACTTTACTCTTTAATAATGTCTCAAACGAAAATACATTGAAAATAATGTTGAAAAATTTTATGTGATAGGGCGTTTTCAAACTGGAGATAGGTAGATCTTCCACTTAGCCATCGATATGTACATACATACACATATTTTTCTTTTTCTAATTTTTCTCTTAGTTTTTTTTTTATATTTTATTGATGCAATGTTTGGTATGCAGTGTATTGTTTTCTATTACTTATCTGTTCTCATTTGTATTCCGTAATTTTTTTCTATTTTTTACTATCTTTTGTTTGTCTCTGTACTTGCGTAATATTGCTTTATTCGTCAAAAGTCGCTCATTTGCGTGCTTTGTCTTTAGTTTTTTTCTTTTTTTTTAACAATGCTTTGCATTTCAACAAGTTCGTTACTATTGAAGTCTTTCGTTGTTACGAGCATAATTCTCGCAGTTATGAGCAATCGCATCGCCATATAAGCCATGAATGCAACATGATTTTGGCTAAACAAGCTGCCAAATTCTTTAGTGCTTTGGCGTTTTGGTTTTTGTGAGCTATGGTTTGTTGGTATTTTTTTTTTTTATTTTACTCTTTCATGTTGCATTCGCTACACCCACTAGTACTGCTGCCGTCAGTTAAAAACCATTTGTTGCCGTCTTTATATGATTTTTATGAGTCACGAAAAAGTGTCAAAAGCGATGCATAAATACTCGTATTTGATAGTGAATGGCAGTTGAGTTGAGCTGAGCAGAATTCATTTAATTTTGTGAAACAAAGAAATATTTAATTGAATGGAATTTCATTTAAAATGGAAATTTTGAAGTGGGATGATAAAACTGCATACAATACATATAAAATATTTTCATGAATTGCAAAACCGTTTTTAATTAAGCAAAAGAAAACATAACATAAACATTTGAAGAATGTTTATAGTCGCAGTCATATCTTTACCACGCAGAGGCAGTTGCAATGTAGAATAACAGTATGGATACCAAATGAGAGAGACAATTCTGTAGAATTTAAAAACAATAAAGTTTTTTGGCTTACAAGGACGAATAGGTATTGAAAATGCGCTTTTAATAAATTTTATATTTTTAAGTTAATAAAGTTTGCAGGACGAAATTCGATGATGAGGTCATGCATATATTAGTGCTCAAACAATAATCAAAAAAAAAAATTTACAAATTTTCAAGAATATTTTCCATACCCATTCATCCTTATGCACCAAAAAATGTATTCTGTTGTAATTCCACAGATTTTTTTCTTTTGTGATACCCATAATGTTATCCTACATTGCACTGAACTTTTAAAATAATTTTTTGAAATGGCTAATATATTTTTTAAATCCTTTTAAAAAAATCCTGAGGTCAGAGAAAAATACTAAGTATGTAAGTAAGTTTACTATAATTTAACCATAACCACTTTGTGTATAAAATTTACTGTCGCACGCTGTTATCTAATTTGCTCTTAAATTTAGACTATTGGTATTAAAAGTCGCTCATTAAACACTGGCATCTTAGAAAGCGTGCTCAATATTTCGGCCCCAGCCTTTCAAGAATAACATCGCAGTATTTTCCTTCGGTAGAGTGTAAGCTCCCACTACAGGGTGGTTAAAAGCTGCGATTTCGGTTTAAGTGGACTTAATGTGACCACAGTTTCTAGAGCAGGTGCTAAATATGAATGCAATACCGCAAAAACTGAGTAACAGTTAGGTTCCAGAAGAAGCAGGTGCATGTCTAGTTACCTTCGAGAAGATAGTTCTTCCCTCTTGGGGGAGCGTCATTGAGCACGTCCTTCGGGTAGGCGTTGTTTAAAAGCTTCCTCTATAAGAAGAAAGTGTACAGTTTCAAATGGAATATAAACCTGGTTCCATATTCTTGAGATATTCAACAATTATAAATTTTGTAAATCTTCTATTATTTATCAATAAATAGAATTCTACGAGTACCACTGAAATCAAAGAATCTTTTTCTTGATAAAGCTTAGTATCGAACTCTCACGAAAAGCAAAAACTCCATATAAAAAACTGTGAAGAAATGGCGAAGAAATTTTCTTGTGTAAAATTTCCTTAAGAAATTTGCTACGCTTTCTACTACGGTTTTCTAAAGTTTTTTTTGTGAACAAAGATCACAAGGCAGCCTATGTTTGCAACAGAAATGCGTCACATATTTGTGCCCTTTCATTATTTCCATTATTTCGTGAAGAAAGAGTGAGATAGTAAAAATTCCTTAAACACTGCTATTCGCACGCTCGAAATAACTTAAGTTTTTTTCCTGACCCCATTCTTAAGAGCTGGATACTAAGCTTTTATTATAAAGGTTGAAATGCTATTGACCAAGCATTTATCGTTCTAGTTCTGAGCTTTTTCTTCCATGTGGTTATATTTCTCTCTTTGTGAGAGAAACCGCTTTTACAAAATGAAATTTTATATGAAAATCGCAAATTTTCACTAGACATTTAAATGACAAAAAATTGGTGCTATATAAAATGCCATAGGATTTCCACTAGGCGTAAAATGACGCAAATTACAATAAAAAACTTGGCCATAAAAAACACCTGTGCCATTACCTTAACAAAAATTGCCATTTAAAACGTTTCCACATGGACCTTTTTAAATGACAAACTTTTCGTCATTTCAATGCCTAGTGGAAATTCGGCATTAGTAACAAGATTTTCTATCAATTACTTATTGCTTGTACCGGTATTTGAACAAGCAACACTCGGAATGATAGTCCACATTTCTACCTCTACCTACTCGTCTACGGCAATCGAAAGCTTTTTTGCTTTTAAATTCATATATGTATTTTAAATGTAACAAGAAAATCAGCACCGAAACAGAAAATTAAGGACAAGTTCTCTTGTAAATCACTAGTACTAGTTAAGTAGAGAGACGAATTTTTCTTTTCGCACGAATCGAAAATATAAGATTTTGCTTTTACTTTTCTATATAAAAACTTAAAATTTTCGGGTCAGAAAAATTTAGTTTTTATGAAATAGGCAAAATAATGCTCCACTACCTTGTATCTGCAAACTCATTCTCTTTTCTATACTCGATAATCGACCTTATGCAACGTGGATAATATTAAAAAAGAGGCACCAAAATGTGAGACAATGTTCTCAGCATTTAAATCGCGTCTCTTCGGATAATGGCTCTTACGAACTTGAAATGCATTGCCATATTTTTTTTTTAAATCCATACAATTTTTACTGCTTCCTTTTGTAACGTATTCGCAGCGGAAGTCACATACGGCTGGCTAGCGTTCTGCCCATACAAATTAAGAAAGGGCAATTTCCTTATTCTACTAAATACATATTTGTCTATGCCTTATTATCCGGCCAAGTCACGTGCCATGCACAACAGCTTCAACGCATTCTCATTGATTATTTTTAATTACACTACCTCACCCATTGTAAAATATGTTTTTTATGTCGTTTACGCACACATTTTCTAACCCAAGCTTTATTTCTCCCCTTCCACTTTCATTTGCAGGAGCCTGATTCTTGGGTAGCCGTCCACCATCTACAAACACAGTCGGGTATTCTCGATCCAGACGATTGCGTCGGTGATGTCGCCGACGATCGTGAGCAGATACTTGCCAGCTTCGATGATAGCGGTCCCGATCCGGGCGTACCGCAGGGCGGTGGCGATGGTGCTTCTGGCAGCTCCTCTGTTGGCACGGGCTCTCCAGACATATTCCGCGATCCAACGAACACAGATGCGCCCACAAATAGGCAACGCAGCGATGTTTCTACGCCGCACATTGAAGTCACAAGCACCACTGCCTGTCCCATGACCGGTCTCGGACTGCAAGTGCGTCGCAGCAGCGATCCAAATTTGTTGGCTTCATTGAAAGCAGAAGGCGGCAATAAACGCTGGTCAGCAGCAGCGCCACATTGCGGCGGAGATTCGCCCGATCGCGTGCTACTCGATAAAAGCGGCTATTTGGCGCCGCAGTGGGAGGAGGAAGATGATGGTCAACATAATGCAACAGCCGCGCCAGCGCAACAGCCGTTCGCGCGCTCGGGGCGCTTGTCTATGCAGTTTCTCGGCGACGGCACTGGGTACAAGTGGATAGAGGCTGCTGAAAAGTTACAACATCCACAGCAGCAGCCGCACAACCAACAGCAACAACATGCGCAGCAGCAATCGCCACATCAGTATGCGCCGCCACAAGCGCAAATGTATACAACGAAATCGCTGCCACGTGAGAGCAAGCGGAAAGAGCCGCTTGGTCAGGCGTACGAATCGATACGTGAGAAAGACGGCGAAATGTTGCTCATCATCAATGAGTACGGCAGTCCGCTTGGGCTGACGGCCATACCGGATAACGAACATGGCGGCGGTTTGTTGGTACAGCACGTGGAACCTGGTAGTCGCGCTGAGCGCGGACGATTGCGACGCGGTGATCGCATACTCGAAATTAATGGCACTAAGCTGATTGGATTGACTGAGAGTAAGGTGCAGGAATATTTGCGACGATCGCTGGAGGCGTCGGAGCTACGCATACGCGTATTACGCGCGGGTTCCGGCGGCGGAAGCGGCAGTGGTAATCATCACAACGGCAGCAAATCACGTAGACGTGACTCCAAGGTAGCGGAAATGATTGAGGCTGAGGAGAAAATGGCCTCCTCAGTGGAGACTAAGGTGGCGACAGTGTCGCCAACCCGTAAGTCGCACACCGCTCCGGTAGGCACATCACTGCAGGTGGCGAATACACGCAAACTGGGGCGCAAGATCGAAATAGTGCTGAAGAAGGGTCCGAACGGACTGGGCTTTTCGGTAACAACGCGCGATAACCCAGCTGGTGGACACTGTCCGATTTATATAAAGAATATATTGCCACGGGGGGCAGCCATTGAGGATGGACGCTTGAAGCCAGGCGATCGGTTGCTGGAAGTGGATGGTGTGCCCATGACTGGAAAAACGCAAACGGATGTGGTGTCTATATTGCGTGCGACGCAACCAGGCGCCACAGTTCGTTTGGTGGTTTCGCGGCAGCAAGAGTTGGCCGAGCTCGATGAACGAGAAATTGTAAGTATATATGATGAATCAGTTAAAGATTTAAAATTCTAAAACCTTCCTTAAATTCTGCTTTTAGAACTATGAGGAAAAAGAGCGCGATTTGAATACACCCCCAAAGCCGCCAGCACCAGTGCTACCGTCTTCTTTACAAAAACATCAGCGGCAGGATAAGCTGCCGAATGGCGTCAAAAAATCTAACAGCGCCCGCTCGCTCTTCGAACAGCACCAACAACAGCAACAGTATCAACTAAACGAATCTCAGCATTTCATAGATGCGGGCAGCGAGTCGGCAGCTTCAAGCGTAAGTGATTTTTGTTCAACTCAAATGATATTCTCCTAATTTTTTGATTCTCTCGCAATGCAGGATAGCCTCCAAGCGGGCATAGCTTGGCGGTCACGTGAAGTGCTCACGCTACACATACCCGTACACGATACAGAGAAGGCCGGCCTGGGCGTTAGCGTCAAAGGCAAGACGAATTCGAATTCCAGCAGCGGCAGTGGCTCCTCCATGAAGCACGACGGCGATTTGGGTATTTTCGTCAAGAATGTCATACACGGTGGTGCCGCCTCTCGTGATGGCCGCCTGCGCATGAATGACCAGTTGTTGAGTGTGAACGGCGTGTCACTATTGGGTCAAAACAATGCCGAGGCTATGGAAACGTTGCGCCGTGCCATGGTCAATAATCCGGGCAAGCATCCTGGCATGATTACTCTCTCGGTTGCGCGCAAGATCGCACGCTCTGCCAGCTCGGGTGACATACTCGAGCAGACGAATAGCAGCTCGAATACCAGCGATAATTCCGGCACCACCGTTATCTACTTGAGTCCGGAGAAGAAGGAGGCACGCAGTGGTGGCAGTGGTTCAAATGAAATGAACAGGTTTGTATGTGTGTTTGTATGCTTTCGTGATGGCTTTATTTCTCTTTGAATTCATTTCACTTTGTACAGATGGAGCAATCCCGTATTAGATCGTCTAACCGGTGGAGCTTGCTCGTCGAATTCATCTCAACAAGCGCGTCGCCCGTCACGAGACCACTTGAGCATCGGTGTTAATGGTGGTGGGGGAGCTGGTGGGCCCGGTAGCGCTGGCGTACATGGTCTGCGCAACGAAAGCTACTACATGGCAACAAATGAAACTTGGTCGCCAGCCTTACATCAGCAACAGATGATGAATGGCCATGTCAACAACAACAATTCAGTTTTAATCGAAGACGATCCAGAGCCCATATCACCGTGAGTGTTTGTATAAAAGGATCAGAATCCTTAAAAAAGCTAAAACTAAAACTGAACGCAAACGCTGCACAAGCTTTTTAAACTTCTGTACAATCTCTTGAGTATAATTTTAGTTGTGTATTTATTTATTTTTCCTTCCATAGCACTCTTCCACACCGTCCTAATGATTCCGTGTGTACGCAGAGCGGCAGTGCTGGTGTCCAGAATACTTCTACAGCACCAACCGCCGCGCCCGCGAGTTTCGATGCTACTTATTCCTCACAACTGAGTCTCGAAACGAACAATTCAAGTGTGGAACATTTCTCACGCGATGCGCTCGGTCGCCGCTCGATTTCGGAGAAACACCACGCCGCATTGGATGCACGCGAAACAGGCACTTACCAGCGTAACAAGAAGTTGCGTGAAGAACGCGAACGTGAACGGCGCATACAGCTAACAAAGTCTGCTATCTATGGCGGCTCCATGGAGTCGCTGACAGCGCGTATCGCAAACGCCAATGCGCAAATTCCCGGCTATAAACACACGAAAACCGCCTCTGGTGTTGAGGCGCAGCAGCTGCAGGCGGAAGCGCGTGATCAAGTGGGCGATTTAGGACCCTCATTGGGTTTGAAGAAATCCTCATCTTTGGAGTCGCTGCAAACTATGGTGCAGGAGATACAAATGTCGGATGAGCCACGCGGGCCGACAGCTTTACGTGCGCCGCGTGGACGTGGACGTGAGGATAGTCTACGCGCCGCTGTGGTGGCAGATCCGGAGGCTGGCAGTGAGTTACAAGTGTATGAAAATGTGCTTTCAAATATTAATTTTCTTTCTACGCTTCCAACTACAGAGCCACGCAAGCACTGGTTGCTCGAGGAGGGCACCGATCAAGATGGCGGCTTTGCGCACCGAAACGGACCCTTTCAGAGTTCGCTGAACGATGGCAAGCATAAGTCGCGCGCCAAGAAGCCGAGTATATTGCGTGGTATCGGACATATGTTTCGTTTCGGCAAGAATCGTAAAGATGGCGTTGTACCGGTAGAGTCGCAGCCGTCTTCGGTGGCTGAACGTCCGCCGGCCAGTTTGCCCAACAATCAGTTGCCCGCAGCAGCATTGGCTGCACTCGATCGAAATACGAAAATGCTACCGCCAGCATATCAACCGCCACCGCCTTTGCCGCCAGCAAATAGCGCTGGGCCGGGTGGCAGTGGCCCAAACGGTGGCGGTGGCGGAGTGGGTAATATGTCGGCGAGCGCGTTGAATGGCATACATCATAATGATATTTTCAATCATCGCTATCAGCACTATGCCAACTACGACGAGCTGCATCAGCAACAGATTAGGTGAGCGCGCGTTTGCTTCGCTACAAATTGTATAAATTGATAATTTCTCTTCAATCGCTAATAATTCTCACATATTCTCATGCGTTTCTATATATACACATACATATATACATACATACATACATTACTTGATATGAAGTAAGCAATACGCTTCATGCAAGTTGAAAGTGTTAATATATTTTTTTAGAAGAAAGTGTGACCACTACGCGAAAACTTGCATTTATACTGATACTCGTTGACATTTTCACTATCTTTAATGACTCTTTACATTTGCTCTTTCTCTTCCGATCACCAACCACCACCACCACCACCACCACCACCATCATATCACTTTCATTTTCCGTTTATTTTTTCCAATAATAAAAAAATAAACCTAACTAAATGACGAAACAAATACAATGCCTATATCAATGAAAACAATGAAAAATGCACTACTTTGCAAAAATAAAAACAAAATATTGCACAAAAAACAGCGAAAGCGAAAACAACGTGACTAAACAAAATCAAAATAGTACAGATGTTTTATCGGAGTCGACATTAGAATGCATGCGGCAACAAGTTATCAGGCAGCGCATTAAAGTCGAAGCGGAAAGGTAACTACTAACTACAACACACCCCATACACAGCTTACTACTTAATATTTGTGTAGATGAAGCACTACTTCTTTCTACACGTCACCTAAATAATTAACTTAATACCTTTTTTGGTTCTCGCTTTTTGGTTCCTATTCCAGCTTTGCCCCTAGATATGTGCGTTTGAAATCGGAAGATTGGATTTGCTTTGAATTGAAGTAATGCAATTTTTTTACTATGCGCTTAGTAGTGGAAATGGAAAATTATATTTAGTTACATAGTTAATTGCGTACATACATATGTACTTTGTATTTGCATTTGTAATGGTAGTTTTATTTTGATGCCTGCCATACTCTTTTGTAAACGAATTTTTAAATTTTTATTTGGAATGCTTTAGTTTGAAAAAAAGGCTAGAAAGAAAATCTTTAACTAAATTGGCCAAAGGTATATGGGTGATGAAATTAGATTTATTGAAATCTGAAAATGTAAAAAGAAGACAAATGCCTTAATAAGGGGATTCCCTTAAACTCGTAAAGTCAAAACTGTGTAAAACTCGTAATTTTACAAGGCTGTTACGGCGGTGTTCCCGTGAATAACGCAAATGTTTGAATAGATGGTTATAGTCACTGTTTGACTGATTAACCAAGTTAATGTAGTTAGTGGATGAAATCCTTTCATTTTATAAATTTTTTTTTATATTTGTATATAATTTTTTATTCGATTTCTTTATCTTAAGACATATTTATTTAGTTTTTTATTTAATTTTTCAATTATTTTCATTATTTTACCATTCATTTTAGTGTAAAATGTTAGGTCCTCGGCAACACTGAAGTTTACGAGGTCGTTTACGTATCTTTGCCTCGTGGTTTTACAGGCAGCTCTTTTACGAGGCTCGCAAACTTGCGACTTTTTTTCTCGAAAGCGATTTAAATTAAAAATTAAAATAAAATAAAAATTATGAGCGACGGAGCGTTAATTGAGTGGGGTTGTGTCACGCGGAGACTCTCCAGATGGCGGACATACATTTAGTACATCGGGGTCTAGTCTACTCAGATAGGAGTTGAGTTTGCTGCAGTAGCCAGACCCAAGTTTTCCAGTGTTACCCAGGGAGCCCATTTGAGCCTTGCTATGACAGTGATATTCCGGTGACATCAGAAGGCATCCCTTGGCTCTCCGAAGTACTATGTTTTGACAAGTATGTAACTGCATCCACTGCGTCTGGCTAGTCTTCGGCCACCAATAGCCTTGCAGGCTGCCATTAACGTTTCTTGGCCTTTGAGGACTTTGTTGCGACTCTGTACTTTATTGGCAATTGCCTGGCCTGGCCTCCTTCGTCGAAGTGGAAAAAGGTTTTCTGAGAATTTGTAGTGAAGAAGTAGAAAGTTTGGAGAGTTAACCGTTTATTTTCGAGTATTCCCGGGCGCCATTATCGAGCAATCGTCAGCATAACAGATTTGAAATATAGTGGTTAAACAGAAGCGGGGAAAGGACACCAAAATGTGGGGCCACCTGTTTAATTTTTCTTGGTTTGCTGGTTTGACTGTTTGTCTTCTAGCAGCGTGGAATGGCTGGCGGCGTCAAACGTCTTTGACAGATCCAACGCTAATAGGACTGTTCTCTCACAGGGCGGTTTCGGTTTAGTTATCTAAATGTTTACGGGACTACTCCCCCCAGATGCCCGAAATAATTAGGATAGCCATGAACAAATTGAGGCCTTGGCGAGATAAGGGACTACTCCCCCCAGATGCCCGAAATAATGAGCATAGCCATGAACAAATTGAGGCCTTGGCGAGATAATCTACTACCGCAGGACCCAATTTTTTCAGGATCGGCAAGTAAATTCTGTCGGCTTAAATGGCTTTGAAGGCTTTAGCCTTCCCGATGGCTACCTGATCTTCACAGCTGGTCAAAGCAAGAGGCGCAATGGGGGTTGGTAGTTTGTGCAGCCTTATTGCCACTCGACGTTTGGCTTTGCGCTCCGTAGGTTGCAGCCTTGAGCTGTCGGCTATAATAGCTCGCTTATCCCTCTGGATCCGTCGAAGCGTGGCCATCTAGTAGGCAGGTATTTTCAACTAGCGAATTTAAATATTTTGTCGTGTAAATATATCTTTAGTAATGTGTAAGTGTATCTCCCGTTTTTAAAAAGGTAAAAGATGTTCCATATAAAGTCAAGCATTTTATCGGCACAGTGAGTTTAGCTATTAAAAAGTAGAAAAAACATAAGTTTCATGAATGCATCGAATTAAATTTAATGCTATTCTAGATTTAATTCCTATTATTATGTAGTAAGTTGTACAAGAACTATGTATTTTTATATAATTTAGTTTTATTTCCTATCTAATTCTTAGGTAATTATTATTCGGCTCCTTTTAGTTAGTTCGCTTGTTTGGTTACTTGCATTCTAATGTCAGCAGAAGCAAAAAATATTTTTTTTTCTTATTACTCTCATTAAACATTTTGCATGCCTTCCTTATACTCCCGAAGCAAATTTTTCACTACGGCTTTGCATTACTGCCATTTTCATACGTGTTTCCTTCTGGTACATTGCGAATGTTTGTGCGCAATATCAACATTACTCATAAAATTTGTTTCTCTTCTGTATTCATTTTTTCTTACATGTCTTCTCACTACGCTCCACATCCTCCTGCTTCTCTTCCCTCCAACGCTTTGCTGTACATTTTGGTGGATGTGTATTTATGAACTGTACAGTCGCCGTCATCAACATTACCATTCTCAACGCAGTGCGCGCTCACAAGACATCAATCCGCAGCATCATCATGCAGCCATATTAAACAACCGAGGCGACGCTGGAAGCATTGAGAAGAGTGGCGGCCTACTGCGACCCTCATCAACCTACTATGAATATGAGACAGTGCAACATAATGTGAGTCCAGCGGCAGCGGCAGCACAGCATCATCAACTACGTAGCGGTAGCCTGAAACAGAATGGACATCACTCGCCGATTACGGTGAATGGTATGCAACAGCATCAGCAACAGAAACAGCACCAACAATATAACAGCAGCAATAACCAACACCACCACCTCCCTCAAAAACAACAACACCAGCAGGCGCAACAACAATCAGGTCCGCCACCAGCGCAACCGCATTGGAAGGCAGCCGCCTTAAATGGCTTTTCCCCCGCCACGCTCAACAGCAGTGCACGCAGCCGCGGCCCATTTGTCACGCATGTGACTATACGCGATCAGAGTTCGGCGGCGATTGCCGCGCAACCCACATACCAAACAGTACAGAAGCAGCAGCCACAATTCGCAAGTGCTGTCGTTAGCGGTGGCGCGCAGCCGCATGCGTCGAAAGTGTGACTATAGGTGCCGGAGCTACGCCCGAGGCGTGGCGGCGAAGTGCAAACAAGCTGGGAGATGGGGAGCAGCGGTGCGTGCGCTAGACGACGGGAGAGCGATGCAAATGATTGTGGCGATGGTGGCAATAGTGGCAGCAATGATGATGGCGATAATGATTACGATGATGTGGACGCAGATTTAGTGGAGATTTTCTACCTGGCCACGGAATGTTGAAATGTTGCAAATGTTTTTCTAAGTCAACAGCAAAAGATGAAAATTTTACACTTACATACATATGTAGCTATTGGCATTGAAGCAAAATCCTTAAATCATGAGACTGTAGCGAAGCGAACAGAAATCGAATTACAGTGCAGCTGACATGCAATTACGAAAGAGAGGAATTTTTTATTATAGTTGTGTGTATATATATTATTTGTAATGTTAAGGGAATTCGAAATGATAACAGTGAAAGAGCTACAGTATCGTAAAGTGAAAGAAGTGTGATTACGCATCATATTTGGCTCGGAATTGTACATTTCAAAATTATTTTTTGTTTTAATTTCCGCTTAGAATTTTGCATATTATGCAATTAAACAGTATTTTTTGTTCATTTAAAAAGCGATTACGTTCTCACTGTCACGCGCGTTCTTAAGGGTGAGCGATGAGTTCGAAAGTCTAATTGAGAAAATGAAACGAATAAAAACCACAAAAATAACGAAACGAAAAATTAATTTGGCATACCAATGTCTATTAAGTTTATGGCTAAGAGTTAGATTAGAAAAAAGGTTACAATTAAAAACGGCATTCTGTCAAACGTTTATTTATGAATATGTAGTTTTATTACATACATACATACAAATTTATAGTAGTTATTGTAAACAAGCATTACATTTTGCTTTGAGAAATTATGCTGGAAAAATATGCTGCTCTAATATTGTTTTCTTTTTATAATTTTCCTAAGAAAAGATATAAATAAATAAATGCTCTTTATGGAGTTATATTCTAATGTGGTATAAAAATATATTAAGCCTAAGCAAAAAAGTTAATCATGTTTCTTAATTTCATTTTTTTGTTAAAAAATTTTTGTATTCCAACTATTGGTTATAAAACATTTACTTGTAAAAAAATGCGCCCACATGCATATACATATACAAAAATTAAATACAAAGCTCGTATTTAGCACAGAAAAAATGAAGAGATTTTTGAATATCCAAAAAAATAGGTTTTTATGTACATACATACATTCCATACAAAAACGATAAATGCTTTTTAGCGCTGAAGAATATAAAAAGCTAAAAAATAAATAAAGGTAATTTACTTTGGTTTCCCAAATTAAGTTAAAAAAAAAACACGAAAATTAACACTATTCCAAAAACCATAAACAACTGAACGAATTAAATAGTTCACACAGTAAAGCAACTTTCCTAATGATGAAATCTGTGGACATTTGGCAAAACAACTTCACTTGGGTGCCTCTATTTTTTTTTGTTTACTATTAGCACTAAATCGTTGTGTTGCAATGCAAACTTAGGAATTTCTTCTTCTTAAAATTCCATATCTTTCACTTAAAGTTATTTGAAAAATATCGACTAAAAGGTCTGAAATTTTTAGAAAAAGCTTTTGCTTAGTTTGCATGCACACGGCCCAATATTGTAACTATTTACAATCATAAATGTAGTTTCAGAAGTCCTTTTAATTAATAAAAGCTCTATAAAAATATAGAGTTGTTTATGGAAGTCTATTGTTTTTTTTTTCATCTAAAATCAAACCTTCTAGAATAACATAAGTTGTTTTGTCAAAAGCCCACAGAAGGTCTAATTTTAGATAGAATTTCCTTCTAACTCCCTACAATAGTCAGCAATTGTTGATGTAAATGGTCAAAAACCATCAAACTGCTAGAAATATGCACACATTTTTCTTCCTTTGCCAGCAATACTATTCACCACTTTCTATTATAAGTTCTTTGTTACTAGAATTTTTGTTTTTTTTTTCTTTGGAAATTAATTGTTCCATCCATAAACATGTGCTTAATTAAATATATTGATGTTGTTATTTTTCTACACTGTTTTAAGACATGTCTGTATTTCTCAAATTGCCATTTGTATAAAAAAAAAAATGCGAAACTAAAAAAAGACGAACAAGCACTATTGAAAATACATCTTTAATATTTTAAAAGGAAATTAAAAAAACATATTCTGTTAAGAAAAATGGACAAAAGTAATTTAAAAAACTTACGAAAGTTTTATAATATATTTCGAATATTGTACACGCACCCTTTGGAAAAGGAAAAAATGATGAATCGAAAAAAATTTGAACAATTAAATTAAACGGAGCTATCACTGAATCCATCATAGTCTGATGTACTTTGAAGACACTGAAATTATATAGGCATACATACATACATACATGTATTATGCATTATGATGCACCTAAATATATTTACGTGTAAATACTTGAAAGAAAATTTTCGACACGTTAAGGTCCCAGTCGTTTGTCGTCTTGTAACCATAATTATCCAAAATTAGCCCACTTAAGCTCCCCTGAGAGTGTTTAGCGCACTCACACTCGCATAAATTATTATTCATTTCGTTACCTTAATATAGAAATAGTCGTTAAAATGCAAAAAAGCTGTAATGTACTAAAATTTGTTATTGCCTAAACCGATGTGGGGACTTTAATACGATGAATCATAATTAATGAAAAAGCGAAGTTTGGATTTTTGGATAGGGCCTTTCTATATTACGGCAACGATTTGCTTATAATTGAACCTTGTGTGTTTTAAACATACATATGTATATGTATAACATACATATGTACATGTACATTTGCAACTTGCGTTTGCACATTTGTAAATAATAAACTTATAATTTTTATGTTTGGTTATCGTATAGCATATGTACTTACATATTTATATGTATATGTATTTATGTATTTACAGGCGCATATCATATTTTCTGATTAAGTACTTACATACATACATTTGTAAATATGTATGTTTGTAAATAAGATCATGTCACATGGTGTATGTCCATCCATAACACAACAGTTCATTTTCCATTTCTTTTTTGTTTATGTTTTCATTTGCGCTTCGTTGTTTGTCAAGTATTTTTACTATTTTGTTTTGGTTCGTGTTTTAATTTCTTTTGTTGTTTTAATTTATATATATACACATGCAAAATAAAGTATGCAGTACATACATAAGACCGTGCCTAGTTTTAACTACTTAATATTTTTTTTTTTTAAATACATAGATACTTAATCGTAACTACCACTACTACTTAGTGATTAATATTGCTCAGTATACACTTTTTAGTTGTAATTTGAATTCAAAAATCCACTAAATATAAGTTAATGTTATAAGAATGAAAATGAAAACGAAACATTAAAATTATGCTAATATTAATAAAGAAAATTTATTAAAACAAATTTTATTCGGTTGTGGTTTACGAAATGTGAGTAACGAACTTGACTTGCATGGGAATGAAAGTAAAAAAAAAAATCATACCTAACTACGGGTATTTTTTAACTCGTCAGCTCGATAAGTCGCAAATCCCGATGATTCGTGATAAATTTTAGAATTTCTTTGCGATAACTTAATATAATTCAGATATTTTTCGACCGGTATCTATGGATTTTTTTTCAAGTCATTCGTGTGCATGAAGACGACTTAAAACTCTTTGTATTCTATATTTCATAACACGTATTTGACGAAAAAGAAACAAAGTATTAATCGTTTTCAGCAATACTTTTTCGTTCTTTTTTTAACGCTTTATAAAATTCTTAGCAATTCACGTTCAATTCAAATTCAAAAACGTTTTCGATACTCTCGTTCTCTTTAGAAGCGTACCAGAAAGTTTTGTTCTCATTCTGTTCTTCTTCAGAATGTCCTTGGCAGTCCCCCTTATTGCGAGTGTCGACTAGTAGTAGATAAACGACTGTTAGTCGATTATCGATTATCCATGGTATTTTTTTTTTAAGTCGTTTTCTCGTTCAATAAGTGCGTGTGAATAATTTATAGTCGCTAATCCTTCTACAAATAAACGGTTGTAGAAAATTGAGCGATAAAACACTAATCTCAGTCGCTTATTGAACGAGAAATCGACATGCACATAACCAAGGAAAAGCGATAATCGAATAAGAGTTGATTGTTGACTCAGATGACTTCTTGCAGAACAACGATTTTCATAAAATGCTTGGATCCCTTTTACGCATTGTTCACATAAGTATCGCCTCATGAATAAGTTTTCCAAAGCCTGTAGTACCTACTGTCTGACCAAAAAAAAACTAAAATATCTCAAATATGTAATTGCTGACAAACATCTGATTCGCGCTTCATTCACCCTATTCTTGAATTATCTGAGGAACATTTTTACACCCGGTTCTGAAACCACAAAAAGGATGACCCTGTCATATGCGCCAACTACTGCGGTGTCGGCTATAAAGTTTTATCGAGCGTATTTTGTGAAAGGCTGACATAGATGAACTTATTGAACTTTATGGGCGTGAGGTAAGTTCACCATAGACCAGTTATTCACCAAATCTTGGAAAAAAAGAGGATAGACCACCAGAACCACCAGAATCACCACCTTGTCCATTTTAGAGCCACCTTCGATAGTACGATAAGGACCTCCCTCACGCCGCGATGTATGAATTTGTTACCCGTGCGAAACTCCTACGGCTGCGCAAAATTACGTTAAGCAAGGGCACCAATCAGATCAATCAAAATTGGGGAGATCTCTCCGAACCATCCGATGCCAAAACAAAATTTCAGATAGGACGACTCTACGACATAATTAATCTATGGTGCTGGAGAGAGCAGCAGAACTAAATCTCTCGGGTAATTTTTTTACAACGGACTGTACATTTGTTCTATCAAGTTTGATATAGAAGCAAAGCAAATGGGCACCCTTTTTTCTTGATGCTCTGGTGCTTATGCTCAACTTGAAATCTATTGAAGTGCTATTGAAATTGCGCAAGGAAAAATTTTATTTCATTTGATTTAGTAGTAATGAGCACCGAGTAGTAAAAATTGTGTTCTTTGAACGCGTAATCTAGGAAATTCGCCCAAATGTTCGAGTAGAACGTGATAATTTCAAATACGCTCATACACCCGTCACTCTTGACAGTTATAAATTCGAAAAAGTGGTGGAATTTGTTTATTTGGAAACCGACAGTACTTCTGCCATGAAAGTTTCTCATAAAAACTGTTCTTCGTTCGAAGGCGACGTGAAACTGTAGATCCCTTCATTTGAGCGACAGCACCAAGACGCACCACACAAATAGGAAGAGAATCTCGGCCATTTTTGTACTTTCCGACTGAGCAGAGAAAAAACATTTCCATTTCTTGCATGGTGAGTATTTCAGCTAATTTTTTACATAAAATATATGGTAAGTAGTATCCAAATATGCCCATATGCATACACATTTTTAACCGACTTCCAAAAAAGGAGGAGTTCGTCGGAATATTTTTTTATTTACTTATTTTTTTTAATTATTTATTTTTATTTTTTATGTATGTTACCGCATAACTTTGGACCACGTCAACCGATTTAGATAATTCTTTTTGCATCGGAAAGGTAGTGTCTCAGAGGTGGTAATCTGGTTAAGATCCGATCAGTGCATCATGAGGTATATAATATATATATATATTGAAGTCGGTTTTTTTTTTTTGCTAAAAATTACTTGTTATTTAACCTTTCTACTAATGATTTTTGATGCTTATTTATAACAAATGTATTTCCTAATAAAAAACAATTGTATGCACAAACATACAAGAAGTAATCATCTCTAAAAACACCAAAATTGATTATATAGGTTCATTAGCAGCTATGGCATATTTCTACGATCACTTCCACCGATTACCGCCGCCGCCGCCCCTTCCTTTCGTACTGGTCTGTGCATTCTGTGCTTGTTCTTCCTGGGCTGCTAATTCCTCATCTAATAGAAGTTCGAAATTGCCCAAAGCGTCCGCACTGGGTATTTTATTCCAGCGCACACTACAACGAAAAAAAAAAACAAAAGTTAGCCGCATATGAAAGTCAATTGGAATAACTAGATTATAAGAAAAATAAAAAATAAAAAAAAAGAATGCAATATCGCACAGCATTTGCCATATTGCGGTTCCACATCATGCGCTCAACCTGCATAGCAGTTTTCCAGAACATTTGGTTTGCAACCCTGCTTACACACAATTGCAGCTTTTTAAGAAAAATAAAGTGTATTTAATTGTTTGACTTACTCAGGTACACCGTCCGGCGGTAACACCACAGATAATATATTATCAATTAATTTGTATTTTAATATCCGATCAGTGACTGTTGTAGATGTGAGTGAAGGTGAGGCGTTCACTTCTACCAGCCACGGCTTCAAAGTGTTGTCTATAATTATATCGTAGCCATAACATTCGAAACAATGACGATCGCTGGCCATTACCGGCGCTACAGCGCGCAATGAATGCACAATTAGCCAGGCGATGGAGCCGAAGAGGCGATCCGTTACCTCCTTGCCGCGTGTGCCCTCCAAATAGAGTGCCAAATTTTGCACCGACCATTTGCCGCCATGCAAGTTGTTGTATTCACCCTACAGAAAGGGAGAAATGAAATAATGCGAAGGAAGGAAGGAAGGTAAGTGTCGTCATGCAGTAATGGATGTCCTACGTACGCCATGTTTTTGTACGCTCACATTCGTCAAGTGCACATACATATTGTCCAGTTCGGTAACGCTTGTATCATATTTGACTGTGCAGAAGCGACAGAAACCTTGCTTGAAGAGATATGCCTTCAGTGGACGAAATGAGGTGACAAGCACATAGAGTCGGAGGTCGAATTTTTTACCACCAATGAGCAGCGGGTTGTCAATATATCTAAATGTAGGCGCATTATTATTAAAATTTTAATTCTGTTTATAGTTTAAAAATTTACTTGGAAATCACATAACTCTCCTTAGACAAT